TCCCTAGGTATACACAGACACACCATCCATCCAGAGTATTGCTGGCTGATCCTGTCCAAAGAGTCCACCATCCTTTGGAAACTTCATTACACGCTGGGTTCCAATAATATACTGTGGCCTTAAGTACCACAAGCTGTCCTTTTTCACATAGCCCCAACATTTGCATTCTAGGTCTGTGCATATGGGACCTGATCACCACCTGGCATGAATCAGTGGCACTCTGCCATTTTGCCCAGATGCGGACCTGGTCCTTGTCTCTTGGGACACCCCCTTCTGCTCATTTCCCCAGAGGCTGCCTCAACACATTTTCTTCCCTGTAAGTCTCAGCCAGGCTGGGGGCAGTTTTCCAGCACCTCTCTAAAGCTGGTACAACCTGTTGTTCATTTCCTGGCCAGTCACCCAGTGCAATTGCTGCATGAGGCCAAGCTCCCCCATGGGAAGAGAGGTTGCACAATCCTATCCTGTCGTGCTTACTCATGGATGGCACAGGTTCCATCAGCTGTGGCACTTTTGGCTGTGGCGGAGAGGGTTCCAGTCCAGAGGACATGTGATAGTTTGAATGTGAAGTTCCTCTAATAGCTGGCCCCAGAGCTTTCCTGGATTCTGTGTCAAGTGAATAGTTGGGAGCGACCCGACTTACATCTGCCAACAACATGTCTGGCCCAAATGCCAACTGGAGCACTGAGGAGGCCTGTGAGTGACTCTGCCCCAGGCAATGAATGAATTGCATTCCTTTAGGCTCCCAAAGGAGTCCTCCCCTCTGTCACAGAGTAAGGCTAGTGTGGCTATAAGCCAGGGGCTCTTTTGCGGTGCAGAGGGGCTGCACTGCCGGGGGATATCGGAAGTGTCATGGGGGAAGGGAACCGGAAGTAGGCACTGCCTTAGCTTGTTGTGTGGCTGCATGAGGGCTGCCTCGTATTCTGCATGATGGGGAGTTTGGTGGCTGCACATTGGATGCTTGCTCAATGAAGGGGAAGGGGATAAGTGGGACCTTAGTAGACTGTTTACAGCCCCGCCCTGCAACCCTGGGTGCCTCTATGTTGTACAGCTTTGACTCAGGGCATGCACTCAGCACAGTGACCTCACCTTGGCTTCCACCAGCTTGGCTGCTCCTTGCATACTGAGAATCCCCTACAGTGCTTTGCCTCTCACCAAGCCTGATCGAGTAGCTGCTCCTTCAGTGAGCCAGCACACAGAACCAGCCAGCTGGTGTGTCTAGGGGTTTTGCTTCTCAGTTTGAGACTGCACCAAGTTGTCTGTAAAAATGAGGTGTACTGTGGCACGCATCTTAGAGTCTAACACATTTATTGGAGCATAAGCCTTCATTAGTAAATCCTGCTTTCTCCCATGAAAGTGTATGCCCTAATAAATTTGTTAGTTTTTAAGATGCCACAGGACTCCTCATTGTTTTTGCAGACACAGATTAACACGCCTATCCTTCTGAGCCTTTTGTCCTGTGTTAATGGGCAACCTCACCTTGAAGGATTCCTTAGAATATGCTACACAATATCAGTACATTTAGCTATGATATGAAGTTCCTTTCCCAGACCTGAAGGACTATGTGTGGGTTGAAAGCTTGTCTCCTTCACCCACAGACATTGGCCCAGAAAAAGATATTTCCTCTTACCCACTTTGAACCTCTGGGCTGAGACTAACTTGAGCTATTTCAATCCACTCCGTACACTGCTGGCCAAGTCTGAAGAAATTAAGAACACTGCTGAAAGTGGAATAGCTCTATCAAGGCTGAAGCCACTCTGTAGCTGATACAGGTAGAATCACCACAAGCCCCTGTTCCTAGCAAGCAGAGGGAGCAGCTAAGCCAGGAAGTAGTCCCTCCCCTTCACCAGAATTGCTGCTCTATCAATATGGTGCTGGTCCCTTGGGTCTGTGATAGATAGCAGGGAGAAAGGCACCATCCTCTCTGCCTGGGCCATACCTGTCTATCCTGTCTCCTTTGAGATCACTCAGTCACACCCTAAAATTCGATAGCCAAACCTGGCCGATAAGGGGCAATCCCTGAAAATCCTGAAGAGAGGGACAAATATTTATTTTGGAGCTTGCACACCCGTTATGCTGATGGATGAAAGAAGGACATCATGTAGGTGAAGTAACATGGCAAACAAAAGGAAAAATTCAGACACGGCCTCCTTTTTGGACACACGCCCATTTGTGGCTGTGGTTTGCAGGAGTCTTAGTGACAAAATACATATTAGACACTTAAAGTTCCCATGGGCTGATGGTTTTAAGTTTCCTTTACTCGTATTTACTCGTTATGCTAAATGCTGTCACGGTCCAAGGTTTCCTTCCGCTTTTCTTTTTAAGGCACATTTGTAAAAATCTTTCATGCTAACAGCCAGGCAGTACCATTTGCATGAATTCTATTCTTTGAGATTTACAACAGGAATGCTTTCTATAGAAATTTTCCTGATCTTCATATATTAAGGCAAAACAATCAAGTGCAATATATAGTGTTTTTATATAGGTTGGGCAGCTTAAGGATTACACACAGCTCTGACTGTTCAAATGTTTCAGCTGATAGGAGAAGGGGCAGATTGGGAGGGACCTCACAAGGATTCTGGGAGCTTGGTTAGTTTGGTTTCCCCTGTTCCCTGGCATTTAGGGAGAGCTGGGGCCCATACTACTGGGACTCCTCTGAAAATCCCAGGCCACATTTGACCACTAATCAGTGCTGCTGCATGCACATGTGATTCGCAGAGGGAAAATGAACCCAGATTCAGGCAGCGATCTAGGGGCAGACCTGCTAACATATACTCCTGAGGGAATTCTGTGCTAAAAAATTAAAAATTGTGTGTGCAGTGTTTTAAAATTCTTCAAATTTTGTCTCAAAAGCATGGCTCCAGCATGGCAGTAAGGAGCACAGGTCATTGGTTGCATTGAGGTGGGAAAGCACCCTGAACATCTCCCCCCCCCCCAATACAGGGACGTAGCAGAGAGGCTGAACCAGATCCTGACAGTGCCCCTCTGTGCTAGGTGCACCAGGTGTGGCTGAGCAAGCTCCGTCCAGCAGGATCCAAGCATGGAGGGGATTAGTGTGGGGTGAGAAGTTTCTTTGTGGGACAGTCTGGGTGCCAACAGCTCAGTGAAAGATCTGGATGCTCAAGGCTCATTGGGGGGGATTCCAATGGGATTCTGTAGGGGATCCAAGTGAAGGTGGTTGGTGCTTAGCAGGGAGACCTGGAGAGATGGGGCTTGGCCAGGAGGTCTGGGTGTAGAGGTTCGTGGGGACTTGATGGGGTGGGGGTCCAGGTGCAGCTGGTTGGGCTCAGTGGGGTGGAGGTCTGAGTAGGGAGGTTCAGAAGAGTCCAGGTGTTGAGGGGTCAGGGTCAGGCTTGTCAGTGTGAGGGTTCGATTGGCCTGCTTAACAGGCGAGTCCCAGCAGCTGCCAAAGGGATGCCACATGCTGGGCTCCCACTGATTCCCTTATCCCCTTTTCTTCTGTGTCTCCTTCTCCTCACTCCCCCTTGCCCTATGCCCCCTCCTTTCTTCTCCATTGTTTCCTGCTCCTCTTCTTCATTTCCTTCAGCCCTACCCCAGGCACTCACTGTTCACAGAAAACAGGAAGGTTCTAACAGCCAGTACTAATAGTAGGAGAGCACAACTGGCAGAGTCCCTTGGAAACTTAGCCTCCTCCAGTTGGGCTGTTCTCTGCTTGCAGAAAGGGGGGGGCGTGAAGGAGCATAGCCTGTAACCCCATAGTTGCCCCTCACCCTTCACTGTCATTTTTTGCTGGCCAGGTACCACAGGCACTCAGAATCCACCCAGGAGTAACATCAGTAACTTAACACTGCAGTTCAGAGCAGGAGCACAATTACTCCCAAGACCAGATGTTTGCCTCAGGCTTTCAGGTGCACAATGGGCTGCACACAGGTAGATCAGGTCTTAGTTTCAAACAAACAGTGCTACAAACAGTGTATCGGTTCTCCCTTATGCTGAGCAGAAACCAGAGCTGTACTAGTTTAAGTAAAGGTGTGATTGTTTACAGCTTTGGTGTAGTTGAATATGTGGACACTCACATGGGTTTGGCTTGTGTTGGCAGGTGTGTAGGTGCAGGCTAAAGCTTCAAAGCCAGTTCCAAAGTAAGAGAAACATTCACACGGGCTTCACTTTCACTTGTCAGTGTATAAGCCCTTAAAAGTCAGCCTGCAGGACAAGCAGTTCCCCAAGGTCCTCTGTTCAGGCACAGCCAGTGGCCAAAAAGCACATTTAAATAAAGCAGCATGATCATTCCCCTCTCTCATCTTTAGATCAGCCCCTTCCTTCTTTTAAATGGCTTAGGTTTCACTTCTACTTTCCAAGGGTTAAAACCTACCTCCATTCAGAAGTTGCCCCACTGGCTGGATCCACAGTTCCTGTGTAGCCTCCCACGGGCTGGGCCCAATTAGTCTAAGTCATTTTAGATTGAGCTGGCTGAAAGGTGGCAAAAAATTCTCACACAAGGTTGGGATGTTGGTGTTTTCAGGTAAAATTCTGACTTGCTGTAATGTCATAGTGTTAAAGGGATTTTCACAATGTCATAAAGCAAAAAGGCAAGCCGTGTAGGCTGGCACTGCCACCTTTCTGCAGTTAAAAAATGCTGTGAAGAAGAAAGCGTGCTCTCCTCATTTGGCTGCGAAAGTTACAAATGAATACTGACCTGCAGTACTTTTCCACATCTTAGCTGATACTTTTAGTGCAGACTTCAGATCAGCAAAAACGCATTAAAGAATGCAAAAGATTTCATGCAAACTTAATACATTGCTCACACATAATGAAGCACAGAAGAACCTGTCATTATGAGCACAGATTATTTTTAAGCCACATTTAACAATTATGCTACACCCTAGTTTAATAAGGCTTTAACATACAAATGTCTCAAATTTTTCTCATCTTAAAATATCACAAAGCAAAAGGAACAATGAATTCAAGTTTTATGTACAACATTAAGAAAAATGAAATTTATTTTTCAAAAACATACATATATATATATATATATATATATATAATATTTAACTGATGTAATAAGCTCTTACAAAAGTAAACATTTTGGTAAATTGTAATAAAAAAGGTTATAGTTTCAGCCCATAATTTCAATCAATTTGCTGTGCTTAAAAAGGGAACAAATCTTAATATTCTATATGAGACATCTGTCAAGGAAGGTCACCTGGGGACATTACTTCTTGCACCAGTCATAATATTTATACTGTCCTGTGCAGCTCCACCAAGCTTAAATGTCCTGTCTGTATAGCGCTCACTGGAGGACTGCGGCCTCCACTCTAAGATAATAAAATATGGAGCTAATACACATTTTGTATGGTCAATTTTTCCAAAATTCACTCTGTATAAAAGGAAAGAAAAAATGTTTGTTTTGGTTGATGTTAGACAAGAAAAAGTGATACTGTGTCCATTAAAAAAAATCGAATACAATGTGTAAACTTGTACAATTTTAGCAGCATTTTCCAGTCCTTCATAAAGTAACAACAACAAATAATTGAAAGCAGTATTCTTGTCTACCTAATTTAGCATATGGGAAAAATATGGCAATAATCGCTGATTCATCATTAGTTTATGAACAACAGCATTTGAATAAACTATTTGTGGGGAGCACTGCAGCAAATACATAAACAACATTTTCTGGCAATGTAAATATTTACAACTCTTATTTACAGTTTTTAAACTTATAAAAATATTGTAGAGCTAGAAAGTTGTGTAAAGTCAAGTTTGGGATTAAAAAGGCTCACTCATCCAGCAGACTTGGAAAAACTTTGCATAGCTGAATTAACCTTTCTTGTTCATTCTGACTGTAGTAAAAACAGTACATATAAAAATCCTGTGGATTAGATATCCCTGGAAGCTTCTAAGTCTTCACTTCTGCCTCTCCAACGCTACTTTTTGGGTGAGCCAACATCCACTGTGATTTTTGTATATAGCGGGTATTTATCAGTTTTCACTAACTTGTATGACAGTGTATTTAAGCCATCGGAATTCATTGTCTCCCTCGTGCGAGCAATTCTGTCAAACCTGTGGGAAAAAAATTGCAATACTGTAATATATACCCCTTGTAATGACCTCAAACTCTAAGCAGCGCACTGTTCAGTGTGGCTCAGTGGCCACAAGAAGCCAAACTGTGGCTTAAGCTGCATGTGGCTCTTTTAAAGTTACTGCCTGGCTTGTGCACCTCCAGTGCCTATCATTCTACACCTACCAGAAAGCAGGGAGGGAAAGCCTGGGGCTTCTGTCCTGTGGTGAGGATGGGAGCTTCTTCCAGAGATGACTGGTGTCTGTTGAGAGTGGGAGGGGAGGACAGTTTACCTGCTTCCCCCTCCCCACCCTCAACAGGGCACACCTCTAACCTTCAACAGCGTCCAAGTATTAGCTGCATGTGGAGCAGCAGCAAACAGCTGGAAGCTTTAGGGTGAGGGGCAGTTGCTTGAGCTCCACAGGGAGAGGCATCAACAAAAACATCTGCTCACCCTGCAGTTTCCAGCTGTTTGACTCCACAGCTCCAGCTGGCTCCAGCCCACCATGTCAAAAATCTGGGGGGAGCAAGTGACCCCACATGACCTCCTCCACACTTTGCCTCTGGATTCTGGCCAGCGAGGAAGAGAGGTTCCTCAGTGCTTCAGCCCTGCTTAACACGCTTTCTGGGTCTCAAAGCTTCGGCAGCAACAGGACTGAAGCCTCAAACCCTGGCAGACCTCTCCTGCAGGCCTGAAATTCAGACACCCCCATTCCCACAGAGCTGAAGCCCCAAGCTCTTGTAGGTGCGCCTCAGCTCTTGAACTTCTGAAGACTGTCATATGCAGCTCAGCAGGTCAGAACATTTGGTTTCCACTGGATTCAAACAATCTGAGTATCCTAGCCTGTTCCATCAGGTTAGGGTGCAGTAATTGTGTGGACACTCGGCTATCTGAGCACAGTAACTCATGTGATCAGACCTCCATACAGGAAGGGGGATGTGAGATGACTTGGAACTGCCAGCCTGGAGAGCATCGCTTAACTATTCAAGAGGGGGAAGGAAGATGGACACACCTCTGTGGGTTGGGTTCATTTTTTTGGTCTCTTGAATGGCGAATCATGCGGCACTTCCCAACGACAGCATCTGGGCGAGATATCCTCATACCTTTAAAAACTAGCCTGAAAGTGAACATAGCAAGAAGTGGTTATTACTCCTAGTAAGTACTTGAGTATGCAGTTAACGACACTGCTACCTCAAGATTAACTCTGCAAAATTTAGAAGAGCTGATTAATAGGGCTGGATGAAATTTTTCAGTTGAAACTTTTTTGGGGAGGCCAGAGGAATGCAGATTCAGAGCAACCAAAATATTTCACAAATTTGTGCCAATTTTGGTGAATTGTTTCAGTCAAAAAAGAAAAACAAATGATGCCAACACTGTGTCTGCCACACTGCCCCGTGAAGTCAGTGCTGGAACCCTGCTGTTACCCTCTGAACTCCTATGAACCCTATTTTGAACTCCTATGGCTGGCTAACCTGGGGTCAATCTCATAGGGCTCCAAGTGCTATCAGCTTCCACAAACTCAAGTGGCAGTTGGGGATGCCCAGGATCTACCCATCTCCATTTCTTCCGAACTTAACTGGCTCTCCAGCAGCAGCCTCTCACTTGTCTGCCTCATCACTACTGTTCTGTACACATGCCTACATTAGACTCATGATTTTTTCAAAACCCACTTGCCATCTGATTTGCACTATCCAAATTTCTTCTTTGGCCCCCAGCAGGGCAGTAATGAAGCTACTCAGAGTACAGAGCTGAAGGCCTGGCTGGGGGCAGCTATCCCACTGCAGAGTGGTTCTAGCTGCATGGCAGGGAGCCCTCTCCAGTGCTGGTATCATGGGAAGGAGAGCAGGGCCATGAGCATGGAGCTGCAGAGGAGCTCCCTGCCACTCATGCCCCTTCAATTATCCCAGCTACCCAAATAAAATTGGAGTCTCCTGTGCTACTCGATTGACCAGGCATGCACTGTGTTTGTTTGAAACTGGCATAACTAGTGCTCCAGGCTTTAGTGCCGCATGTTATGAAATCTGAGCACAGGACCAAAGCTGGGTCTGATTCTGCCCACTCTTGAGGCCTGGGGGAAGTTAGACATTACAAGCAATCTGTAGATATAATTTTAGCTGTAAAGTGTCTGGCAATCCAAAGTATCACCAGTATCCCCCAAATGCAGCTCCCCTTTCCTGATATACTGTAGCATCTGACAGACCGAATTCTTGCCCTTCAGACTACAGCAAACTTTTCTAACACCTGCCAGCTGGCACACTTGTATGTTCTCTTTGCTGTTACTACATGTAGTCAAGGGCTGCAGAAAATTCTAAGTCTAAGGATAGTAAAGCTATGGAGCAGGCATCCAAGGGAGACTGGAGGCTTTTAAGAACAGGTTGGACCAAACCCCTGTTAGGGATGATCTAGGTTTACTTGGTCCTGCCTCAGCACAGGGTGTTGAACTTGGTGACCTCTTGGGGTCCCTTCCTGCTTAATGTTTCCATGATTCTACAGTTTCAGAATTGACAGCACTCCCTCCCTTTTTGAATGTCCTCTAGCCTATCTGCCACAGTTTCCAACCACAGATGTCAGAGCAGTTTACTAAGGGATATAATTGTCCTTTAAGCAGAAGATATCAGCTATTTTTTTTAAATCGTTAAACCATAAAATTTACCAATGTTTCAGCCAATATTTGTGTGAAGCTGATCCATAAACTCAGGGAAGCCAAGGGGCAGAGAAACATTTCAGACTAAACATATAGTAGTAAAACATTTTGCATATGAACTGAAATCAAAATACCAGTGATTTCCAAAAACTACTGGTCTGATCTCCCAGTAGAAAAACAAAGTGTAAAAACTAAACTCAAGTTGCACTGTGCAAATAGATCCTTGTTCTGTTTTCTGTGGTATTTCATGCTCACTGCTGGAATTTTTAAGTGCTCTACTTTACACTTTAGTATTTGCAGCTGCTTAGATTTTGCAGACAGACACCATTCCCCATATTCTGAAACTGCAAGAATCCAGATTGCACCGAGTTTCACACTGGCCAATATACAAAGAACCAGTGTCCCCAGCTCTTCTACCCATCTCCCTGGAGTTGTAGAGTTTCCTGACCTGGTAATTTGAGGCTGGAGCTCAGTCCCCAGGTGGGGGTAGGAATCACTTACATACCAAGTGAGGAGAAAATAGATTCTGGAAGACAGATGGAATCTTGCTGTTGCTGCATCCATAGCCCCAACCTCAGTCCTAGCCTTTAGCGACCCCAGCATCTGCCGGGCCTCACACCGAGATCCACACCACCAGCAAACTGCTCACAGAGCTCATACAACAAGACCTCTGTCACTGTGTGCTGGCTGCTCCTTCCTGTGCAGCTTGCTTTGATTGGGAGCCAATGCAAACAATGAGCAGGGCGCCTCGCGCTCCAGGACCTTCCTTGGCTGCAGACTCATATAGCACCAGGCTGGAGCTGTGCATTTGCATCAGCCTGCACCTGAATCGTGACAGTGCCTCCAGGTGAGAAGGGAAATAAACACAGGAGCTGTCAGCAAGGCTGTTTGGGTGCATACATGCAGCTCCAGATCCCAGCCCACCTCCTCCGGCTTGCTGTGAAATCTGAACCCTACGCCAGAGATGACTCCATTGCCACTTCCCTACTAGGGCTGTGCTGCAGGGTCAGAGATGGAGAAATGCCCTGAACGGCCCTAGCCAGCAATTAATTTGGTGCAGTCCCTGGCCCCAAGACACAGGAACAGGAATGGGCTGTTGCTCCCAGCTAGCGCTCCCCAGGAAGGATTGCAAGTTCCCAAAGAGCTCTTCCACTGGAGGTGCCTTTACACAGCATACCTGCTGCTCACAGAGACCCTGGCTTTTTAGCACACGTGGTGCAGCACGTGAAACTGAAGTGGCCAGACAGTGTCAGTGCACATGTCGAGGCACTGCCCACATCTACCTAGGACAGCAACAAAGCAATAGCTACGTCACCAAGAGAGAGAAGAGGGAAATCTGTAGCATGCAGAGCTGCAGATACAGCACAGGCTCAAGTCAACTACTGTAAGCATTGCTCAAGGGGGCCATAAGTCACAGGAACAGCAGTGCTGAGGCTAGCAGAGGCTTTTAGCTGCACAACACTAAGGGCAGAAAATCTGGCAGAGCATGTTCCACCTTGGGTCTTTACCTGTTATAAATGTCGTCATCTTCGCCACCCCAGCCCCAGTAATCATTAGGAAATCCGTTGATTTTTACAAACTGTTCCTTGCTTAGAGCAGACACACCTCCAAAATACTGATTGTACGGTAAACTGCAAGGGGGAAAAGAGCTTTGTTAGTGCACCATGCTTGTTACTGAAAAGCCCAGGCTGGATGGTGCCATCAGACACAGCCCTGAGCAAAGGGATGCATACAGTGCACCCCTCAACCTATTCCCATAGGCACTGTGACTCCTCAGCTTCAGGGTCAGGCTATTAGTGATGCTGGTCAGGACCAGCAGTAAGTTACTGTCCCACCCCTAACCCTTGCTCTACCCCTCTGGCCAGAGAGTCAGGGTGTGAGGTATCAAGGTCCCAATCCTGCTGTTCCAGGCACAGTCAGTGGCTTAGTAGCCTGGCTCACTCCTATGGATCTGGAGAAAAGGTACAAGAGCCCATATAGGCTGATTGGCAGCATTCATATAGCGTAATCTGTACATCTTAGCCCAGTGAAAATCAATGTCCTCTAAGGCCCGGGGTTAGGACTGCAAAGGGGCTTGTTAAAAGCAAGTTTAGAACAGGCTTTCAAGAGCCATATTTAAAACCAAGCTTTTGCCCATTTCCTGACAATGTCTGCTACAAGGCACATTCTGCCTGCAGGATGATGACTGGGGTGATGAGCCCAGTATCCTGTCTGCCGACAGTGGCCAGCACCAGGTGCCCCAGAGAGGGTGGACCGAATACAATGATCAAGCGATTTGTCTTCTGCCATCCCTCTCCAGCCTCTGACAAACAGAGGCCAAGGACACCATTTTATCCCCTGGCTAATAGCCTTTTATGGACCTAACCTCCATGAAATTATCTAGCTTCTCTTTAAACTCTATTATAGTCCTAGCCTTCACAGCCTCCTCTGGCAAGGAGTTCCACAGGTTGACTACACGCTGTGTGAAGAAGAACTTTCTTTTATTAGTTTTAAACCTGCTACCCATTAATTTCATTTGGTGTCCTCTAGTTCTTCTATTATGGGAACTAATAAATAACTTTTCTTTATCAGCCCTCTCCACACCACTCATGATTTTATAGACCTCTATCATATCCCCCCTCAGTCTCCTCTTTTCTAAACTGAAAAGTCCCAGTCGCTTTAACCTCTCCTCATATGGGACCCGTTCCAAACCCCTAATCATTTTAGTTGCCCTTTTCTGAACCCTTTCCAAGGCCAAAATATCTTTTTTGAGGTGAGGAGACCACATCTGTACACAGTATTGAAGATGTGGGCGTACCATAGTTTTATACAGGGGCAGTAAGATATTCTGTCTTATTTTCTGTCCCTTTCCTAATAATTCCTAGCATCTTATTTGCCTTTTTGACCTCCGCTGCACTCTGTGTGGAAGTTTTCAGAGAACTGTCCACGATAACTCCAAGATCTCTTTCCTGATTTGTCGTAGCCAAATTAGCCCCCATCATACTGTACGTATAGTTGGGGTTATTTTTCCCGATGTGCATTACTTTACACTTATCCACATTAAATTTCATTTGCCATTTTGTTGCCCAGTCACTCAGTTTGGTGAGATCTTCTTGGAGTCCCTCACAGTCTGCTTCTGTCTTGACTATCCTAAACAGTTTGGTATCATCTGCAAACTTTACTACCTCACTGCTTACCCCTTTCTCCAGATCATTTATGAATAAGTTGAAAAGGATTGGTCCCAGGACTGACCCTTGGGGTACACCACTAGTTACCCCTCTCCAATCTGAAAATTTACCATTTATTCCTACCCTTTGTTTCCTGTCTTTTAACCAGTTCTCAATCCAAGAAAGGACCTTCCCTCTTATCCCATGGCCATGTAATTTACACAAGAGCCTTTGGTGAGGGACCTTGTCAAAGGCTTTCTGAAAATCCAAGTATACTATATCTACTGGATCCCCCTTGTCCGCATGTTTGTTAACCCCTTCAAAGAACTCTAATAGATTAGTAAGACAGGATTTCCCTTTACAGAAACCATGTTGACTTTTGTCCAACAAATTATGGTGGCTAGGAAGAGGCATGTTGCTGGAATGACTGGCTTGGCTGGGCTGGGCCGGGCCGTCTGTCACTGGAAAGACCGGCAGGGTTGTGTGCGTGCGCGCGTGTGTGTGTGTGTCTGTCACTAGAGCACAGACACTCTTAGCGTTTGTTTTTTGGTGCTGTCTTCCTTGACCTCTCCCTCACCACAGTGCCTCAGCCCACACGTTAATGGATGGATGCAGCCATTTCCAGGTGCAGGTATTCTATGGGTCATGTCTAATTAGCTGATGATACTGCAAAAAAATCTTATTTTTGATCTCATGAGAAGCGCCGGTGTCTGCGGGCTGGGAGAGACACTCTCTCCTCATAGCAGAGTGTTATGGGGAATTTCCAACATCCCAATGGTAATCATTCTGGAAAAACTTGTCCAGAAATTCTGACAAACTCTGCTAACACGGTGCTAAATAGAGAGGGCCAAACTGCAATCCCATGACCTTAAATGGAGATACATGGAGCTTGCTGGTTGCTTTAATGGTTACAGGATAAGAGCAGCTGCTACTGGTTAATCACAAAAAAACTGAAAAAAAAGCAGCTTCTATTTTTTCTACTTCTGTGACTTTGATATTGGAAAACTTTTAAAACCAACTTCCTAATCTCTTCCACAGACAAACCTTTTGTTCCAGCTGCACTGGGACACATGCAGCCAGCAGTAGTTTTTTTCAGGCCTTTAACTGAAGATATATACTAAAGATGCTGCCATAGGCTTGGGAGGATAAACTGTAGAAGAGTAACAAATAGTTCACTGAAAAGAGCTCTCACCGGAATCCAAACTTATCCATCGATACAGAGAGGTGCCGAGGCTGGCTGTAACACTTGTAGATGTTCCTGTCATCCATTGGAATTAGGTCTACGTCACTAAATACAAAGCAATCATAGTCATATTCTTTCAAAGCTTCTTCGAAGCCTATGTTCAGAAGTTTAGCACGATTAAATGTTTCTTCTCCAGCCTAATTTAAAACAAATAAAAACAATTAAGCATGTTGAGGTTAGGACACACCATCCATTTGTGACCTGTTACCCAGTGTTGCAGCATGCTCATGAGACCTGCACAGCCACCAGAGTCAACGTCCCCCTGAGCCCTCACAGCAAGGTTGATGGTGTTGATGGCTAGCATTACAATCCATCTAAAGGGCTTGACACTGATGCCCAAAGAACTGCTTTGCCCAACGGCTGTATTTTCTGGGCAGCTGAATCTGTGTTGCAGCTCCCACACACGTGGAAATTGAAGTGGTTGATCACAGAATAGCCAGAGCTCGGTATGTTCCCTTCATTACTGGCCCACAAGCTCCTACGAGTACTGGTAATCCCCACTGTACTCTTTATCAGCGTCCACCTATGAGTCTGGGGCAGACGCCTGCTTAGCTACACACGTAGGCATCACTTCCAAAAACCGAAAGTGTCTCAGAAAATGGGGCTTGGTTACTAAGTCATTTAGACACTTCTGAAATTATTACACATTATTCTTGCATGCCACCTGTTTTAAGGCTAAGGTTGCTTTGTTGTTCCTTAGAAAGGGCCTAACCCAACACCACTGGCTTGGAACTCAAAACTTGTAAAGGAAACTGGCAGAACAAGCAATGGGTTGCATAAGGGAAGAAGACTGAAGGTTTTGCTGTTCTTGGACCCTTAGAACACTATCAAGGAGGTTCAGCCGGTGGCCCCACCCCAACTGCTTCTCTCTTGAGTTCCAACTAATTCTCCCATGTAGCTGGCTATTATAACAGTATTGGCAGCTTTGCTTGAAAGTCATTTACCCATTTCTACATCTATAGGACAGCAAGCATCAACCATAGCACAGCAAGTCTAGCATGCAGGTCCAGCCTGGACTGAGAAACAAGAAATGGAAGCTTAAAGGTTTCTAGTTTATTCTCCCATTGGCACTGCTGCCTGGCTAATAAATATCCTGTCTGATAACTCATTAATTCAAACTGGATAATGGATCTGGCTCATGGAAACCATGTGCAGATACTTTATCAGTGCAAAACTGAAGAATTACACCCAAATATAGGGCTGGGTTTTTCAAAAGCACTGGCCTCTCTGTGCTCCCACCAACTTGACTGAAGAACCAACTCATGCTAAGTCAACTCTTCCCCTGAAACTCTTCCACAAGCTGTTGGCTTCACTGATTTAACCCCAAGTTCATTTGAGTCAGGTTAGGTAAACCTGTGCCGTTTTCTCATGAAGTCAAGACCTAGCAGGGAGACCCCAACTATGGAAAAGTGCTTCTGCAAATCCTTGAGCATCAGCAAGTGAAGTGAGCTTGGAGGATGGAATGGGGAAGGGCAGAGAAGTGCTATTGCTGGCATGGCATTAATCAGCAATGAGGGACTTCTGTGATCTAATTTAGGGATTAAAACCAAATCTGGTACAAATAGGAAATTATTTCCTTTTCTCAGAGAGGTAGCCGTGTTAGTTTGTTTCAGTAAAAACGAGTTCTGTGGCACCTTAAAGATTAACACATTTATTTGTGCCCCTCAGGCTGTGTGCGCACCTCTGCCTGCTAAGAACAGGGCTTACAGGGGCCATTGCCTCACTCCCTGGAGGCAGTTTGGGGCCTGCCATTACACAGAGGCTACAGGACAAGAACAGCATAGATAGGAAATGGAAGGGCTGTGCTCTAGCCATGGATACAGACATCTCCTTGGAGAAGAACTCTGGTCAGGTGAGAGCCAGATTGCAGTGCAGAGTAGGGATGTATTAGTGCAGTCGACGAAACGATTAACTGATAAGTGAGTGCTAGCGACTACACACCACACTTCCCCCCCTGCAAGTACTTTTTTGGTGGGTTTGGCTGACAAGCTGGCTCAGTCCTGGATCACGCCAGAACCCAGCATCAGCCCCCTCTGCAGCACAAGGGCTTGTACAAGTGCTAACTAACTGATTGTGTAGTCAATGAAATTGTTGTTGACTACACAATTAACAAATGACACGCTTCTTAACATCTCTAGAGCAGAGGGTTGTGCGCTCACTCCAGTGCTGTGCACAGAGTTGCTTAGGTTCAATCCTTGCAATACACAATGCCTAAAAGCTGTACTCAATCCTCTGTACCTCAAAGAATATTTTTCAGTGCCCACAGAGATAGAAATGGTCACAGAACCAACTGCAGCAATCTCAGGGTCCCATGAGGTTACTGCTCACAGCTGCTCCAGCTGCTTCTGATGGTTGTGTTGTAGAGCTCCAGTTTTCCTGCACTTTCTTCATTTCCAGCAGCAAGCTAGGAGAGGAAGGTATCTCACTCTAATTTATGCTCCCTAAGCCTTTATTTATGGGAGCAAGTTCAACCACCAACCTCCTGCAGATCCTACATGGCAGCCCTCTTTGAGGCCTTCCGAGGTCAATTTAGAACCCTCATGAAATCAGGGTGTTTCTAAGAAGTCACTCCCCAGAATAAGGGCTTAGGAACAAGCTATTGATTGAACTGAAAACAGAGTTTGCTGCTTGGCTGGAACACAGAAGTTCTCAATTGGGTCAGACCACCCCACCACAGCAAGGACATCCATGGCAAGGTCACAGGCAGAGTCCAATGAAGCAGAAACATTTCACCCATTTGGTGTTTTCCCTCCATGCTTCAGTCTGAGACACTCTCTCGTAGATTCAAACAGATCTGTTGACCTGTGATGTGATGTGATGTGACTGTTGTTACAGCCAGACTCCTCAGACTCTCACACAGCCCTCTGGCTTCACTGTAACTTGGAAGGACTGTAAGAGATCTGGCTTTAGCACATTCAAGCTGTGATTTACAGAGCCCTAGCAGCCCAAAATGCACTTGCGACTGGTACATGGAGAGCTGTCTAAGCCAGTGGTTTTCAAAGTACTGGTCATGACCCAGTACTGGGTCCTGGAAGGTCAGGCACTGGATCACTTTGTTGTAGCTGCACCCTGGAAGTGATCAGCAACAGGACTAGTTGCTAGGTGGGGGGTGGGGGCTCCAGGGATTCAAGCTCTGCCCCCCCCTGAGTACCCCCTCCCAGTGGCCAGTGCCTGGTCAGTGGGAGTTGAGGGGAGCAGTGCCTGCTGGTGAAAACAGCGCACAGGACTGCTTGCACACCTCTGCCTCAGAGCTGAACCTTGCTACTGGCCAATTCTGGGGCACAGCATGGTCTGTGGTGCAAGGACAAGCAGGAAACCTGCCTTAGCACCTCTGTAGTACTGCTGACTACTGCTGGAGAAAAGCCGGCACCCCGATTCCCTGCCTAAGCCCTGAGTCTGTTCCTCTCTGCCCCCCCCCCCCCCCCCCCCCCTTCCAGCCTGCATTCTAGTCAAAAGATATAATTATGTTGGGTCACAAGCATCAATAATTTTCTTCAACTGAGTCATGAGAAAACCACGGGTCTAGCACATAGTGTGAGGTCCTCTCCTTTGTTTCCAGTGACTAAAATCTACCTAGCCCTTCCTGGTAGGTTAGGTCCCTCTCTTAGGCAACTGCTGTCCTTGCCATGGGTCCTTGTATGATTGCAAATGAAGGGGGGAGGGGAGGCTGCTGAGTATTAATGGGAGGGGAAGCCATTCACAAGATAAGATCTCTGCTATGGAAAAACTTCTGAACTGTCCCAGCAAGGACAAGACAGGGCTCGCCAGCTGAGATCAAAACAGGAAGGAGTACATTGAGCGTTTTTTGTTTGTAGTTAAAAAGAGCCATGTGTTTGTCAACTGACAATTCAGAGGCATTGGCAGGGCTGGAGTAACAGATTTAAATTGCTCAGTATCACACCAGCTACTGATGGGTTTAGCTTCATACTAATCTCAATGCTTTCAAAAGGAAAAATACAGAAGCAGAAACTCACAATGCTTTGTACTCATCTGGTTCATTTTTGTGAGTGGAGGCTTAGTTAAAAGCATAATAAAAAAATAAAGGCCAGATTACAACACCCTTTCTCTGCTTTAATATTATCTTGCTCTCTTAATGCTTCAGTGGTGCAATTCATTGTAATGAAGGCTATTAAAGCTAGACCCTGACTCTGTACTAAATGAACAAATAATATTCTCGTCTTCTTGCCAAAGAAACATTACTTGAGAGGAATACCACTGTGCCCTGTGCTCAGCCAGATGTAGCTGTGTAGGTAGCTTCCACTTGCAGTGTATTTGGACTGTGTCTGCATGGGGCTCCATTAGCCCCACTGAGATGTAGCTTCCAGTTGCAGAATGTTTTGTTACTTTCAACATTTAAGCTGGAGATAAACAGATGGCAGTCTGATTTCTTTGCCTGTCCTCTGATTATGCAAACCAATTCAGGTCCAAAGGACAATACTGTCTATGCAGGTGTTTGCTGCTTGTTACCATGCAAACCTTAAAGGGACTCCTTGCTGGAGTGAAGGAACCATCCCAGCGGATCTCAGTAGCACATGCAAGGTTGATTCACAGCCAAGCAGATGGATAACCCTCCCTATACAGAGCAGAAAGCTGGCAGCTTGATGAAAACAAAGGCTTCCCCTTCATTGCCTCAGGACTTAAAACTTGCTTAGCCAAACTGAACAAGAAATGCTGTTTGTGTTAATGGCCAGTCAGTCAACACGAGAGAGGCAAATCTGTACCAAGAAAACCCCTCAGATGGTAGAGTGGTCATTCTTGTGGTTGGGACTGAGGCCACAAAGAGAAGAAATCTCTTTTGCTTCTGTGACTCAGGTGCCCCCAGACAAACTGCTTGACACATGATCTAGCCATATTTTATACAGACTGTACGGAGGGCTCTATAGCCATTTGTCTTGCCCATAGGGACCAGAATGCTAATCCTGAGGGGCCTGCCAAGTAGATAGCTTACCAAGCTCCACACATGCACCCCATGCACGTCCTAGGATGAAGACCCCATGCCAGAAGGGCATGTTTCACTTTTACCGGGCAGGAAATATGGCCTATCACAACCCTTGATAATCTACACTCTACATGGAGACCCTTAACAAAGGAGCAACAGCAGGCTCTCACCAAGGAAGCGGTAAGTGTAGATAGCCCC